AAAACAAAATTTTTTCGTCGAAATGTTTGTTATTATTAAGAGGAAAGGTCAAAGTATTTTGGGGGTATTTTTTTCCATTTTTTAATCGTTCCTAGCACGTCCGAAATTTTCGGTAAAAATCTAGTTTTTTTTGAGTCAGCAAAATTGACCATTTTTTTCCATTTAAAAAAAAATGGAAATCTGACTTTGAAATTTTTTTAAATATCAATTATCATTTTTTCAAAACTTATTTTAAGAAAATCAGAAATTATAATGTTTATTTAAAATATTTTGAACCAAACTTTACTTAGCTTTTGTGCAAAAAAAAAAAGATGTAATTTGAAAATAAAACAAAGCAGGTCATAAACTTTCGCGTCTCTTGACATGTGATGAATGATATATTTACGAATTCCATGAGGCTAATTTGTTCTACGGAAGGAGAAAAGTGATATAATTTACATTTACGTGAACAAATTATTTACCCCGTTATTTTTAACGAAATCTTTCAGCGGTCTAATTTTTTTTTTTTTTTTGTACTTAGCTTTCACCTTTACGTTTATGATGCTTTATGGGAAATATATTGTAAAAGAAATTAAAATAAAACTGTTAAGAGTGACATTAAATTTCATATTTTTAAGAAAGGTATCTAATTAATTTATAGGTACCTTTCTTATGAAATTTTATCAGAATTGTACATAAAATACTATAATTTTATGTACATTTATTACATTCTACTGTTATTTGTATTTGCATTCATTTTATTATTAATTTTGATATTTCATTTATGGAAAATGTCGTAACTGAGATTAATATAAAAATAAGATCATATAAATTTCATAAGATGATACTGATACTTGTAGGTACCCTTCTCAGTTGAAATTGAAAAATCAAATTAACTTCTCCACACGTGTTTCGCAAAAGAAAAGGCCTTAACAGCGGAGAACAATGCTTAACTCAAATAACGCAACTTAATTATATTCTGGTTGGTCTTCCGTATTTTATAATTACAGCTCTATTATAAGTACAAAATTACATTTCTTAATTACTGGGTATCTTCTGATTAGTCAAAATGATACAATTTACAACGCGCTAAAAAAAGATCTATCTCATAAGGACACTTATGAAAGCCGATGCGGCTTTTAACTAATTTTATAATATTTTAACAACTTAAATGTAAAATCTATTATAATTAATGAAATAACAAATAATTGTATTAAAAATTCATTTTTTATCGAAAATTTTTTTTTTGCTTTCAGAAAATATTGTCCATATTCATAAAAACAACTAAAAGCAAATAAAAGCATTTGAAATTAAATAATATATTTGTTTTATTGAGTTTTGTATGTTACAATTCACAGCTGATTTTCAGGTACTGCATATCCAATTAAAAACAAAAAAAACATGATTTGCATTCCTCAAAGTCCTGTGCGTTTAATTATTGTAATCACTAAAACCGATGCGATCGAATTTCTAGCGTTTTCATAAAATTAGTTATGGGGGGGTAATAAATATTTTTAAAAAATATTTCTACCATGACTTTCATAAAAAAAACATATTTATAATAATTTCGATCATCTGTGAATAGTTTCTGAAAGTTTCATTAACATTTGATAATTATTTCTATTTTTGCACGATTTTTCAAATTAATGTGTCATACCAAAAATCGTGCTAAAATTGTCTATGTTATTTACTAGTTCCGCTGATACAAATAAAAAAAAAAGGTTTTTTAATCAAAATTTAGAATGTTCTAAAAAGAAGGAACATTTTTTTTAAAATAATTAAAAAAAACTTTGGTCTTTCCTCTTAATAATAACATAAGCATTTAGACAATAAAATTTAGTTTTCGGCAAGTTTGGCGTCTTTTTCATCAAGCTATTCCCTTTTTTTAGCGATTTCGTGGAGGTACCTAAGTTAACACCGCAACAATCTACGCAATATTATTTAATCTGATTTTAATTGCATTTCCCCGAATGGAATCGAAAGTTGTGTGTGATTTTATGATATCCTGCCCCAACTATCGAGGCTTGTTCAAGAGTCTACTTTAAAAATCCACCGACCCTAACATCCAATCAACTCTTGTAAACAAAATGGTGATAGGGAATCGATGTTCATAACAGATTCTGGTGAAACTGGAAGCTTCCAGTCCAGACCCACAACGTTGACGGCGAATTCATTTATCAACGCCATCGTCATAATGGAAATGATTAGCAAAGGAGAAATTAAATTCTTGGATACGTCTTGGATACAAGATAAGGCCGACGACAACGATATGTATATACAGGTTAAGGGCGTCATGTGTTACAGTTGGGAAAAACACGTGCTTCCTTGAATTCCAACAACAAAAATGGAGAACATGTAGTTATTTTTTCTGATTTCTTTTGGAATTTGTTGGTTTGATGAATTGGATCGTAATTAAGATCCCAATGTAATAAATTACAACCATGGAATATTAGTGTTTAAAACTATTCATTATATTCTTACTTTGTCCTGGACTTTGAGTTCTAACTGGGTTCTGTCCTCTTGGAAATCTTTATATGTATATGTATGTATGTATGTACATATATTTAAATATATATATATATACACACACACACACACATATATATATATATATATATGCAAGCAAATATATGGATATAGATCCGACAGTATGAAGAAAAATATACGGAAAAAACAAACAAAAATCCTTATATACAATTATGCTGTTTTCATGTTAATATGTCAACGTCGGACCTTTCGGTCTAATAAACCATCTTCAGGACATATTCATAAAACGTGACCATGTTTTACACGGAGCGCTGATCTTATAAAACTTTCAGTTATCTGTTGGATAAGTCTTGTTCTTATGTACATCGTCTTTGTCATGTTGAATTGATAATGTTAATTATATTTTATGAATATGTCCTGAAGATGGTTTATTAGACCGAAACGTCCGACGTTGACATATTAACATTAAAACAGCATAATTGTATATAAGGATTTTTTGTTTGTTTTTTCCGTATTTTATATTTTCATATATATATATATATATATATATATATATATATATATATATATATATATATATATAACCACTAATATTATCTATCTATCTATTATCTATCTATCTTACAATGTAATAAATTATAACCATTCGATATTAGTGCTTAAGCCTGTTATTACACACACACACACATATATATATATATATACACATACATATACACATATATATATATATATATATATATATATATATATATATATATATATATATATATATATATATATATAATGCTTTTGATAAGAATGGCAAAGAACGTCAAAGCTTGAGCTGTGGCTCTAGATATCTCGATGGCGTTTGACTGGGTTTGACATGTTGCTCTTCTGCATAAGCTTCAGGGCTACGTTATTACAGGACGACTACTTAATTTAATCCAGTCACTCCACTCAAATCGTAAAATGAAGGTCGTTCTGAACAGGCACGCTTTCAGATCATTACGAATGCGGGTATCCTCTAAGGATCTATCCAGGCCCCTACACTTTTTTCTGATCTACATCAATGATATCCTGGTGTCACCAGCTTCCAGTTAGGTATCTACGCGAACACTTTCACGAAAATCATTCAGCATAGATATGTATATAGCAAAAAAATGCACTTCATTTAACAATCTATATACCATTTCTACAATTAAACATTGATTGCAAATATAATGAGTCTGTCTAGTGGTACAGATATTAGGTAAGATTTTTTTTTTATATATATATATTTTCATATTTATATATATATATATATATATATATATATATATATATATATATATATATATATATATATATATATATATATATATATATATATATGAAAAAGATGTAATTTTTTATATATCAAGAATATTTTTTGACGAAAAGAAACTATGACCAAAAGTCTTTCGACTTTCTCATATATATATATATATATATATATATATATATATATATATATTAATGAAACGTTATTTACAATATATATATGTGTGTGTTCATGCATACCTAAACATAGACACACACATACACACACACATATATATATATATATATATATATATATATATATATATGAAGGCGAGAGAGACAGAGATCTATACATATATATTATATTACATTGAACATTATATTATAAACAGCAGAGTTCAATGTATGATAACCTCTCTCTCTCTCTCTCTATATATATATATATATATATATATGTGTGTGTGTGTGTGTGTATATATATATATATATATATATATATATATATATATATGAGACAAAAACGAAATAAAAATAATCCAGTTTTTTTATAAGAAGCTGTGTTTAAATCTACGCCACTTTGACTCTTTTATTAGATAAATATCTTATCTCTAAAACAAACTTAACCTATATATATATATATATATATATATAGAGAGAGAGAGAGAGAGAGATTGAGAAAACTTGTAAGATTGCTCTCTGTGATATATATATATATATATATATATATATATATATATATATATATATATATATATATATATATATATATATCCGTGAAATATTGATAAAATAAAATTGAATTATAAGTGCATAAATTCATATCTATATACATACACGTACATTACCTATATATATATATATATATATATATATATATATATATATATATATATATGTATAGTTATTTATGGTTGTTTTCAGAGGTGAGTGAAAACTAATCTCCATATATATTGAATATATTCATCTCAACTAAAGACCGACAGTAGCAAAGAGGGGAAGAAACTCCCGAACACGCAGCTGTGCGAATAAGCAAAGAATAATTGAAAAAATCTAACAGGGTTTTACCTGTGAAATGTGTTAGTGGGGAGAAAACTGTGTATGAAAAAAAAAGAAAGATTCAGAAACATGAAGATTTCTTAAATTAGGTTTTGTACTGTAACAGTATTGCTGATGGCAAACATTTTAAAGAATGTTTTGAAAAAGAGTATCTGTACGATAGAAAGAAAGAAAAAAGAATTAATTAAAGAAAAATGGAAAGAAAGAATATATTAATGTAGGAAAGAAAGAAAAATGAATGAATGGAAAAAAGAATGAATCAATGGATGGAATAAAGATTGAAAGAATAGAAGAAAGAATGAATGAATAAAATAAATAATTATTTGAGAATGAAAAAAATCAACAAAGGGAAAAATGAGAAACAGTGGGAGAGCAAAGAATGAAAGGCTGAATGAAAAGAATCATACAATCAAAACAAGAAGTATAATGAGAAAAGGAAGAAAGGTATAAAATGATGCATTAAATAATGAATGAATAGCTCTCAAGTAAGAAGGAATGGTGAACGAGAAAGAAACTGATAGAAACACAAGAACTACAACGAAATCAAAAAGAAGTAGAAAGAAAAATAATGAAAGAAAGAAAATGGGAAAAATATGAAAGCAAAAAATGAAAGCGACAAAAAAAGAATGAATGAAAGAAAAAAAATAAAATGAAACGAAGCAGCTTTATGAAAGAAAGAAGACATCATCAAAGTTAAAGAAAGAAAGAAAGAAAGAAAGAAAGAAAGAAAGAAAGAAAGAAAGTGTAATTTGAAAAACGTGACTTTCATAAAAAAAACATATTTATAATAATAATTTTTCTTATAAAAAGACCGCAAGAGAAAACGAAAAGTAAATGAAAGAAAGAAAGAAAGAAAGAAAGAAAGAAAGAAGACGGGGATTGTGAAAATGTTATAAGTCCTAGATACATTGGAGAAAGAAATACAAAGAATGAAACAACGAAAGAAAGAAAGAAAAAAGAAGAAAATGAGATATGTAGTAATGGTAAAAATGTAAGATTATATATACAGGCGGCAGAAGAAAATGCAAAGAAAGAAGGAAGGAAAGAAAGAAAGAAAGAAAGAAAGAAATAAAAAAGATTAAGAATGACGAAATCGGAAAACAGAGAAAGTAAATGTGAAAGGATTAATGTCAAATAAGACAGACAAAAGAAAGATGGAAGAAAAAAGAAGAACAAAGAAAGCAACAAAAAGAAAGAAAAAATGAAAATGACAAAGAATAAGACAGTAGAATAAGCAAAGAAGGAAGAAAGAAAACCGAAGTTTAGATAAAATGATTCATGAAATACGAAACAAAGAAATATAAAGAAGACAAATGAAAAAGAAAACGAAGAAATGATTAAGTAATGGCCATAAAGAAAAAATAAAAATAAACAAGAAACACAAGGGAACATAAAGAAAGAAAGAAAACAGAAAAAAAATATTTGCAACCATGAGATCGATAAAACAAAATATATATAAAAAGAAAACAACGATATGATAGCTAAGAATTTTTGAATGAAATATTTAATACATAAAGAAAGAGAAAAGAACAAAAAGAAACAAGAAAATATATAGATTGGTTAGAAAGGAACCTTTTTGAAAACAGGCGCTTCTCACATATATACACACCCAAACCAAAAAATAAAAAAGAGAAATATAAAAAATAAGCAACAAACAATTGCACTCACGAATTAACCAACAAACCTTATAAAATGACTGAAATTATATTGGAGAAAAGGAGTATGCTGGGGAAAAGGATGAATTTATAAAGATAATAATAGCGAAAAAAAAAAACAACAAAACAATTGCACCTAAACGAGAGAAAAAAAACTGTAAAAATAAACAAACAATGAAGAATAGCCAATCCAGAAATAAACCTCCAAATATTTTGGATTTTATTTTCCATGGTGCGAATTTCAGGCAAAAAGCAAATGAATGCTTTCAAATATTTCTCCCGTTTTTTTAACCTGTGACAAAAATAACTGACATTTTATGAACGATTATTGAAACTTCGTTCGCCCTCGAGATAATCGTGAGGAAAAATATCAACGCTTCGGAAAAGCTTTCCATAAAATTGGACGATTTTCCGTTTACAAAACGAATAACTTTGAATTCCCTCATTATTAGCTGATTATACGCAAAAATATTGAAATTCTAAGATATAAAAAATCATATTCTCTGTTACAGCAGACATAATCTTTCCGAAAGCAACAAGATATCGTGTTTTAGAAATAGTTAGTCCGTCTTTTGTCTAAAATCAAGACAAATGAAAGTAACGAAACTATTAAAATAAATCGAATGTCTGATGAAATATCACTTTTGGCTTGAAAGTTTTGACAATTTAACAACTTATTTTTAACAGATCAAATCACATTATCCCATGTCTGTTATTAGAATGATTCTTCAACACTGGCTAGTCTGCCCCAGGAGAATCGTTGGTTTATTCGTTATCTACTATTTTGGGTTCTTTAATGCTGACAATTAACTTTCTTGGAAGCTTTAGTAATTTCTTTTACAAGATATTTTACTTTTCTTTTTTTCTTCGAACATTTACTGCAAGAAATTTTTATTTTACAAAAATGTATTGCTGGTATTGTCTTTTTTATAAAACTGTATTGCTGGTAATATTTTTTCCGTTTTTTTTTTAATTTGCTGCAAGTAATATTTATTTTTTAGTGTATACTGGTAATGTGTTTTTTCTTTACAAAAATGTATTGCTGGTAATAGTTTGTTATTAATGTATTGCAGATAATATTTTTTTTCTCTTTTGTTAAATATGTTTCTGGTAATTTTTTTTCTTTTTAAAATTCATTGCAGGTAATATTTTTTCGTGCATGTGATTTTCCTTAATTAAATGTATTGTTGCTAATACTTTGTTTTTAATGTATTGCTGTTAATATTTTTCTCTCTTTTCTAAAAATATTGCTGGTAATATTTTTTTCTTATTTTAAAATTTATTGCAGGTAATATTTTTTTTTTAGTGTAATATGCTTTTTCCTTAGAAACATGTATTGCTGGTAATAGCTATTTTTAAAAAAATATATTGCTGGTAATATTTTCTGTTTTTTAGAATATATTGCTCGTAATATTTTTTTCTTTTTTTTAAAATATGTTGCTAGTAATATTTTTTCTTAAATGTATTACTGGTGATATTTACTTTTTCGGGTATTACAAAAATGTATTGCTGGTAATATTTATTCTTTTTTATTACAAAAATGTTTTGCTGGTAATTCTTTTGCTATGAAAATTCTTTGCTGGCACTTCTACTACAAAAATGCACTTTTATGCTTTCATAGCATTTTCATCAAAGTTTAAATAACAGGTGCTACTGTCTCGGGTCAGGGTGAACCTGGAAACGACAGCAAAACGTCCCGATTAGAAGCCTTGCTGCCTGATATAGTTTATCGTCATACCCAGGACGGCGCATCGTAGGCATTTAATATGTAGCTCATAGGCTAAGCTATTTTTTTTCTATTTTTTTCTGCTGTGTTTTTTCGGGATGTGGGAGATTATAACCTCCCATCTTCATTTTTGTTCTGAATAAAATCCGACTCTTCACTATTCCTGTTCTGCCATCTATTGCCATACAACCGTTAAGTAGTTTACTCGCTGCTTCCCCTGCTTCTGTTTCTTTTCACTATATTCTCTGAGCGTTAAACTATCCGGGTGCGCTTTCCTCATAATGCGTCCCAGAATGTTGCCTTCCGATTGAAAATAGGGTTTTAATCGTATTTCTTATTTCCTTTAAAAATTCTATGTAACTTAAATATTCTGTTTGCGGTACGGTAAGCAGCAATGCTACAATCGGATGCCTATTGCTTGGATATTCTTTACATCTGTAATGAGATTTTGCAGCATTCATTCGCATATAAGTGATTAAGTAGTTTCTTCCAAAGGATATTTTCCTATAGATTAATACTTTGCTTAGTTTCTGAGTGACACTTTCCGATCTTTCAATGCGCCTTCACATTTCCGTGTCACATTGTCCGTCAAATATTTATTTAGATTTTTGTTTCTCTTTAATTTGTTACCAGTCGAGAAGAAACATTATATCATGAGCTGTCTCTTTTCCAAAAAAAAAAAAAATCTTGAATTCCGCCATCGTACTGTTAACAGCGAGTCCTTTCGTTTTGCATTTTTTTCCGACCTCATCTATTAATTTTATTCGCAAGTTTTCCTTGATAACGTAACCAAAATAATTATTAACTTCTACATGTCAGTCTCTCGATAACTCAATGGTTTATATTATTATCAACTCCTTGACAAATCGACCATAGTTAGATTTTAACCTGGGTCTCAACGTTGTGACACTAATATTCTAACAACTTGTCTATGAATGTCTACAGAAAGAATATAATTCCTGAATATCTAAAGTTGTATTTTTTTTTATTTTTATAGCTAATGCATGAAGTCTGTCTTCAATGCATAAACTAGTGGTAAATGTTTCAAACAGGGCAAAACATACACATATGTTTGTCTCGAAGATTTGAAGGAAAGACATTTAAGAAATGTATGGCATTTATGCAATGGTTACGTAAATTTATGCAATGATTACGTAAATTTATGCAATGGTTACGTAAATTTATGCAATGATTACGTAAATTCATGCAATGGTTACGTAAATTTATACAAGGATTACGTAAATTTATGCACTGATTATGTACATTTATGCAAGGATTACGTACATTTATGCAATGATTACGTAAATTTAAGCAATGATTACGTAAATTTATGCAATGATTACGTAAATTTAAGCAATGATTACGTACATTTATGCAATGGTTACGTAAATTTATGCAATGATTACGTACATTTATGCAATGATTACGTAAATGTATGCAAGGATTGCGTACATTTATGCAATTATTACGTAAATTTATGCAATGATTACGTAAATTCATGCAATGGTTACGTAAATTTATGCAATGATTATGTACATTTATGCAAGGATTACGTACATTTATGCAATGGTTACGTAAATTTATGCAATGATTACGTAAATTCATGCAATGGCTACGTAAATTTATACAAGGATTACGTAAATTTATGCAATGATTATGTACATTTATGCAAGGATTACGTACATTTATGCAATGGTTACGTAAATTTATGCAATGATTACGTAAATTCATGCAATGGTTACGTAAATTTATACACGGATTACGTAAATTTATGCAATGATTATGTACATTTATGCAAGGATTACGTACATTTATGCAATGGTTACGTAAATTTATGCAATGATTACGTAAATTCATGCAATGGTTACGTAAATTTATACAAGGATTACGTAAATTTATTCACTGATTATGTACATTTATGCAATGATTACGTAAATTTATGCAATGATTACGTAAATTTAAGCAATGATTACATACATTTATGCAATGGTTACGTAAATTTATGCAGTGATTACGTACATTTATGAAATGATTACATACATTTATGCAATGATTACGTAAATGTATGCAAGGATTGCGAACATTTATGCAATTATTACGTAAATTTATGCAATGATTACGTAAATTTATGCAATGGTTACGTAAATTTATGCAATGATTACGTACATTTATGCAATGGTTACGTACATTTATGCAATGATTACGTAAATTTATGCAATGATTACGTAAATTTATTCAATGATTACGTACATTTATGCAATGATTACGTAAATTTATGCAAGGATTACGTACATTTATGCAATGATTACGTAAATTTATGCAATGATTACGTACATTTATGCAATGATTACGCTGAAACGAATGTAATGTCACATTTAAAATGAAAAAAAAACCCCAAAAAACAAACAACAGTTTCAAGGTTTTAATTGATGTATTTAATATAGATAATATTTCCTATCATTATCAGAAGGATAGGCCAGCCTAGTTAGCAGATGCATTTCATATTAATATAATTTACCGATGCTGTCAAAAATTAGAGGTAGGCATACGTTTATCTTGCGAGATAAATATATCGGCCTGTTTAGTTATTTGTTTGGTGGTGAAACTGTAGTGACATCTCTATGGTGCAGGGTGATGGCATATGTAATCCGTGCGCTGTCCAGACTAAATGGCCCTCGACTCAACCGTACGGATAAAATCCAAAGGAATAGAGAGCATTACAATTGGAGACGGCTTGACTGAACGAGTTGCCGAAAAGTGGTCAGTGTTGAAAGCCAACCGCCTTCAGAACGACACTCTGGATTTACTTCCATAACCTTTTCCTTGTTTGGATACGACCCTAAGTAAGTAAAGGTTTAAAAGTAAGAAATTATGCTAGATTTTACTAAACTTTTTAAATTTTTTTTTTTACTAATTATATTTTTTTCCATGTGAGTTATTAACAATATTTAAATATATGTTTTCCCTGGAGATGTACTGTACGCATTTCAGTCAAAATTAATGCTTACTTT